GACATGGTTGTGGAATGCGATAAAATAATGGATTTGATCATGAAATAAAACATAGTAGATAAATTAAATGAAAATTTAAACGTGCAATTAAAATAAAGGTAGAAGAAGAGCTTGAGATAAAATAATAGTGTGGGTAAACAAAGAGACGATAAAATAAATGAATTGTGATAAATAAACCTGCTCCGAAGAGACTTTAATATGGTACAGGAAGTAAATTTGCTTAACTTGAATGCGGAAAGTAAATGACGACAAGATTAATGCTTTAAATAAAGGTTGCTCCAAACTCGATTACAGACTTGATCAATGATGTCATAACCCTCCGATGTGAAGAGTTGATCACTTACAATTTCGACAGTATGTGGCTTAAGTTTGTAACTAAGATTGGATCATCTTAATATTGGATGAAAGGATGTATTTATAGAGTTTTCAAAACCCTAAAACTGGTCAGGGAGGTTATAACTTCGAGGGCGAAAATGAAGGAGAAAATGGAGTGAGTGCTTGACCAAGAAAGCCTTTTTCCAACTTCCTGGTCTTTGTGACGTGTCGCGAACGCCACACCATCCATTGTGATCGCCATGCTCATAAGGAGGATAAGACTTAGTCTTTTTACCGTTTGGACGTGGACCACTTATGGCCACCCTTGTGGTGAACGCCATGGTGGTCGCCTTGAGTGCATTTTACCCTAATTCTTTAGTTTTATGTCCGTTTTACTTCGTTTCTTCCCGCACGACTCCCAAATGGTCATTTATCTAAAACATAATCAAAATACCAACATAATAGTGGAAAAGGAAATAAAATGAATAATAAACATGAATAAATTGAGTCAAATAAATGATGTAATTTTTTGCTATCAAACTCTCCCACACTTGAACCATTGCTTGTCCTCAAGCAAAAATAAAGTAAAAGTAAACAGTGACAACAAATAGAAACTTTGGGTGTGAAGACTTTTCTTTGAACAAAATTATATCAGTAGGTACTAAATCATAAAAACAAGAGCATCGTAATAACACATTCTGCACTTTTATGGGCATAAATCTCTCTCATATACAAACCAAAATGAATCATATCATTATGCTTAAGCCTATTTTACTCGTCCTATTTTACATATTTTTTCATTGAGGCGCAATCACATTAAGCTCGTTATTCGTACATACTCATAGTAAGGTCACCGGTTGTGACTCTAATCCTTTATACGGGGTTCTGGTATCTGAGGTGGTGTAACCCATATGTTTACCCAATTTTATTTCTGGGGGATCAGACCTTAGTCCTCCCTATCAAGTTCAGAACTAGATACCTCTGAACCAACTAACAACGAGTTTTATTCTATTTTTGCAGGTTCTACAACTGTTGAGATAAGTGACCGGGTGAGGGTACCCTAACTTAGAAGTTGCATTCCCTATTTTTGATAGATTATAGCATGAAAATTAGGATCATTCACTTATGTTCATCGACTTCTCTACGTAGAGCATGCTTAGACTGGAGCCGACTGCTAAAATAAACTACTTAAGAACTTATTTAGGGGTTAGAGTTTAAGGCTAAAGTATAACAATTATCCAAATCGATCTCTATAATCAAGAGGCTTACGGTGTTAAAATAATACTTATATTTTAGGATATTTCCCAAGTATTTATAACTTGTCCCTAGTTTGTCTAACATCCCATAAATTTAAAACAAACATTGTTTCTTTTTGCAAAAAAAAACGATATGGATCAAGAAAAATAAGGAATTCGACAAACAACAAGAACTATGCGTAAATACTTGACTATACATGTGACAAAAACAAAAGTAGTGCTAGAAAGCAATAAATATAATTTAAAAAGCAGTCAATCTAACTAGAAAACAAGTAAAGTTTTTCTCCCACACTTAAACCAAACATTGTTCATGATGTTTTGATCTAAGGTGAAATAGGAATGATAGACATTATGCAATTCCAACTCACTCCACATACTACATTAAACATGATATGTCTTTATCAACACTTATTTGAGTAAGTTTTCTCATTTAACTTATTTTGATTTTTTATTAATGTATTAGGTAAATAGTTTATTTTTAATGTATTAGGTAGTATTAGAACTCGAAATAGGTAATGTTACAGACATGTACTGCGATTTTGATGCATTTTGGGTTGTTAGGGAAATATTAGGAACTAATTATGTCATTGAAGCAAAACACGAAACTTTTTCGGAGATGCATCTCTGAATTTGGTCCTTTCTAGTTTTCGGAGATGCATCTCTGAATTTGGTCATTCCTGCAACAAAATTTCAAACTAATGTATTTTTTCTCTTTTTTCAAGAGAATGGTTATAAACAACAACGTAATGAGATTTGACCATGAAATCCTAACTGCGTTCGCTCGCTGCAAGAGGGAACTTCAAAATGAGCAAGCCAGAGCTATGCGGGAAACTGTACCTAGGCCTCATGACGGGGAAATTTTGACATCTAAGAGTCGCCTTTCACATAGGTCATCATTCCAGGCTCACGTACACAAAAAGAAAGCCCTTGTTGCTCGTGATGGCCTCCCACCACTTGCAGACTCTTATCTAGGAGGGTCCATTGACAGCCCATTACTGATACATTATGGAGGCCATGCTGCTCCACATGTTTGGGTCAGAGAGGTATATTTGTTAACGATTGTTATTTTTCTATTTTTACCAAATTCGATGCGACTGATATTGTTATATTTTCTTTTTAACATGTACGCGGTTGTATAAAATCTGTTAACCATGCCAGAAAGATTCACAACCTTTATCAGCCTAAGGATGAGTAGTTCTAAAGTGTCATCAGATACTCTAGTCTTGTTGGTTTGTGTTCTTCCGGCTACGCAACCATCAACCATGGCATGGAGGGGACTTTTTCTAAGAGATGGCATAAGGACACACCATATTTCCACTTTCCCATTTGCGAGATGACGATTATACTAGATGACGCCGCTTTCCTTCTACACCTTCCCATCATAAGGAAGTTACTTGATCATTCTAGGATCAAACGCGATGAGACCCATGAGATGATGGTGATTTATTTGGGAGCTGACCCAATGGTTACGAGAATCATTTGGTATCGGAGGAGTATCGGAGTATGTCAGCCACAGGACAGTGGCATTATGCTAAGGGTTACATGACTTGATTTTTTGTGTCACACCTTGTCATGACACCAGACGTCCACCTAGATCTGCTCATGAGGAGATCCTAAAGAATGAGTAGGTCAAGGATGACCATGTCGTTGATGTATTGTCGATATGTCAAAACATTATGCGAGTTACGAGAGAGGGCATAGAGTCTGGGTTGTTTGAGAGAGGTGGCGATGATGTAGTTGCCCTAGCACGTTTCATTCTTATTGAGATGTTGAATGCCTTAGATTACCGGCGACAAATGAGGAGTCTGAGGGTTAAGATTAGACATACGCACTAGGTTATGCTTTTTTTATGTATTTTGAGATGTGTTACTAGTATTTTTCATACTTTGAGGACTATGTTTGTAATATTATGACTTTTTTTTTAATTAATTCATTATCTTATTTTGAGTTGTTAATGTTTTAGTCAAATTATAGATTATAACACTGTTACTCGGATTAAAATGACTTCAGAATTAAAAAATACAAACTTAAACATTATTTCTACCCGCATTACATGTAGGGAAGTTTTTGAAAATGCATATCTGAAAACTGCTATTGCGGATATGTATCTCCGAATACACCACCAAAATATTTGCAGATGCATCTCTAAATCCAATTTTATCAAAAATAAATTATGTGCATTTGAAAATACATATTCAAAAAAAAATTTAAGATATTTTTTTAATTTTTAGAGATGTAATTCACACGTAAGGGTGGAAAAAAATTTGTTGAAAAAAATAGTTTTTTTTTTATCACTTTAATTTTACATCCTTTTTAATTTTAAAGGGTTTGTTATTCTCGGTCTCTATTTCTTCATCTTCATTTTTATCTCATATGTTGACTCTTGTGAGCATAGGGATCCACACACGGATGTTTATTTTCTAGATTTTTGTTCAATTTCTAGGTTGAACTCATAAACTTGAATGATTTTTAAAAAAATCAACAATTTAATAATGATAATGAAAATTGATGAAGATAAACATGTTAGAGAAGATGAAGATTTCTATAAAAAAATATTGAAATTTTTGTTTTTAATAAAAATGGTAATTAAATTCAAATTTATTGATTTAAACTTGTCACGTATCATCATCAAAAGAGTCCTATAGACTTTTTTAAGAGAAAGACAGAAAAACAAGAAAGTGTTGCTTCCATCAAAATTACTGATCCTAAAATCAAATTTTAGCAATAAAATATCATTGAAATAGAATAAACACTCAAACGGCCATTGAAGGACTTGAAGAATGTCAAATAAACATGAACTTCCTTCTACTCTCTGATGGGGTAAAAGACCATGAGAGTTGACTACAAAGGGAATATCATAGATTTGCAGGCAAATGGCATAAAATATTGCTCAACATAAATAAGTTAAATTTTGGTAAATATATCCCAATAGGCATCTGCAAGTACATATAATATATCATCTCAAAGACCATAATACTTTAAAATCAAAAATTAACATTTTACCCGACTTAATTAAACATAAAAGATAAGTTTTTTAGTGGCATATTATCTACATAATAGTCTGCCATGCAAGTAAACTATCTCAGCTACAGTTTCTGATCGCAACAATGCACCTTCTTGATTTGAAGTTTCACTCCCATCCCCTTCGCAGTTAGTTCCCTGCAATCTGCAAGTCAAGAAATGCAGAAAATTTCAGACATAAAAGTAACTCCGATGATAAATAGTCCAAGTAGAGGTGTGACAATCATTCTCAGATCAAGCAATTAAATATAGCCCAATTATAAAACAGCAGAGTACAGAAGGTTTTTCCTAAAGTTTTCAAGTATATGTGCTGAAATAATCATATACTTTTCAATAGGAATTTTAACTCCGATCCCCTGTAAAAAGAAAGAGAGCCTAAAGTTCACCTTATCATCCACGGCGCAGCATCTAGTGATCTGGAGATGGTGGTCGCTGGTCTGGAGGCTGTGGCCACATTTGTGGTGCCATGTAGGGATGAGGCTGCTGAGCATACATATTTGGGTCCATCACAGGCTTACCCATTATGACACCAGCAGCTCCAACTTGGGGGGCATGTTGAGGTGGCATGTAGCAGTAGTTAAGAGCATCAGCAGGACCACCAACAGGCATCGTTCCTCTCGGGATTGATGCAAGCACTTCATCTTTCAGGTCCTCGCGAGGCACAATGTCAACCAGGAAATCAAAGATATCAGTCCTTGTGATTGCAGCTGCAATATCATTCTTTTGAAGCGTCCTCCTTTTGTTCTCTTCAGTGTGGTTCCATGAACGCAGGGTTAACTCCAATATGAACATCTCACAGGCCCTTGCAAATATGACCGGTGCCTCAGCTGATATCATTCTAACATCCTCATCAGCCTTCATAATCTTCTTGATCCTTGCCAGGGGAAGACTGTGGTTCTTGAAATCAGTAACCTTTTCAATTTCTTGGTACTGGTTTGCCCAAAAAGCTTGGAGCTGTTGCTGAAGTTGCTGCTGTTGCTGCTGATGAATATGCTGATAAGCAAGTTGATGCTGACCCATCTGAGCTCCAGCAGGTTGACCAGTTGATTGCATGCCCCCGGTAACAACTGATCCAGGTGCCCCAGCCATTTGGTTTGGCTGATATGGATTAGATCCATACGGCATTTGACCTCCACTACCGACAACCCCCATCGGCGGATTCTGGTTATGCCCCTGATGATCCATTCTGTTTTGACATAAAATCAAATACGCGATCAGTAACATTTTACAAGCTACAAAAGAAACAAATCATGCAATCATTGAGGCAAATCTGTTGATAGCAATTATACCACAGATGTTGCATAATCATTTAATGAATAAGAAAAACGGCCTGCCATTGCACTGTTCTCAACCATGTATTGTGATCGGAAACAACGCAAGCTTAGAAAAAAGAAAACAGGACACCCTTTTCCTTAAGAAACATGCCATCGGCAACATTTCACAAGCATCAAAGGCAACAAATCATGCAACCATGGACACAAATTTGTTGATATATCAGTAACTAACCCACAAGTTCAACATTCAGCATAACTAACCATTTAATGCATCGGAAAAACAGATCTCAACTGTGTGCCATGATCGAAAACAACACAAGCCCAAGAAAGAAACATGCACATATTTTTCTTGACATGCATAAATCACAAAACCACACATTTTAATCTACCCATTCCCATGCACAAACACAACTCTATCTCAAAACACAAAAACTGTCTTGCCAAGATAACACCAAAACAACCCCTATAGGAAAGCAACTCATGCAACAAAATCAAAGTTTCACAAATCAAAAGAAACATTAAATTCAATCAACAGATCCTCCCTCAGAATACCAAAATATTCTCTCCATTTTCAAAAATCACATGATTTCATTTAATTCAACTAAATAACCTATTCACATAACGCATGCAAATAACAACCAAAACAGTTACTAAATAAAATTGATAAAAAAATCAATTAATAGAAAAAGGCATAAAAAGAAAAGTAGAAACTTCCACTTTCCATATTCACACACACATGTTCACACAAATATTTTATATAAAAAAATCACACATAAAAATCAGTAATAAAAAACACATAAATCAACAACAAATGAAATGCAGATGCATTACACAAACAAAACAAAAAAACATACATGAACTGTTCCGCAAGAGCTGTTAACCGATGCTTGTTTCCGCAAACAGTGAGAAACCTGAAAAGGATCAAACGAGAAAACGATGAGAAATCACGGTTTGATTGAAAGATCTACAGCATGCGAATTGAGCAGAGAACGAGTTTTTTCTGATAATGCTTTTGAAGTGAGAAAGATCCCAAAGAAGAAAAGTTAGGGTTTCAGAGAGAGAGAGAGAGAGAGAAATGAAAAAGATGCAGAGAAAAAGTTGTTGCGAGAATTGATGAAGTTTTTTTTTTTTTTTTTTAACTTTGAAAATGAAATGAAAATGAAACGAACCTCTCAAAGACAATAAAGCTGTGTTTGTGTCTGAATACAACAACAACTTGCTTGTTCAGAAGCTATTTATATTACCATTTTCTTACCTTTTTATTGACGATTTTACCCTTCTCCTTCTACCCAATTGGCCAATTCCCACACTATTATTTATTATCATCTTCTCCTAATTAATGTAAATGTTTTTTTTTTATGGAAATAAATATTAAATGGATTTTGTGTAAAGTAGATAAATTAATAAATTAAAAGGAAAAGTGAAACTACATTTAAGTTTTAAAATTTAGAAGTAAAGTGGTTGTGCTTGAATCAAGTTATATTTTTTAATTAATGCAATTGATTAAAAGTTTCTCTTTTGATTTTTATTTAATTGAATATGTTTCACTGCATTTATAAGTAAAATAATAATATTAATTGGAAGCTGACATATTAGGATTTTTATTTAATTGGTGTTTTTTTTTTTTAGTGTTGTGAGTTAGTTTATAGAAGATTGTTGTTAATGTTATATTTAATAATTTTTAAATTTTACATGTCTTAAAATAATGTGAGTTGTGTTAGAATCTGTAATTTATTAAATGAATTATTAGTATATGCGTAGACAAATAGATCTTAAGTCCAAATAAAAATCAACAAAATTTGTTTAGAATAAATACAATGAAAACATGTAAATATAAAAATTAATTCCTTACAAATATATTTAATTCATTAAAATAAATCACTAAAATTTTTCTCTTTGTAAATATAGCTATTTTTTATTTTATATATATATATATATATATATATATATATATATATATATATATATATATATATATATATATATATATATATATATATATATATATATATATATATAAAATTGAATCAAATAAATATTTTTTTAATATTTTTAGTGATCTCTCTATTCGGATTAATTTATTAACTTAATTTATATGATTCAAATTCAAATAATTTTATTTTTCTCTAATATTTTTTACATAAAATTGATGACGCGTGTATTTTTAATAATATATTATTTGTAGAATGTGATATGTATTATATGAAAATCTTTTTGTAATGTGAAACATCAATAATAGAAATGACACATTATTAAAAAAAATCTCAGTCAATTCAATGAAAATGTATAAAAAAAACAAAATTATTTGAATTTAAAATAAAAAAGTTAATTGCATATATGAGCTCAAATAAATAGATCAAATAAGCCTAAAATCTATTGAAAGATATATAGCTTCAAAAAAATTATTAAATAATAAATAATCAAGTTTTAAATAGTCACAAGTGTTAGACGATGTGAAGGATTTAGAAGGGGGTTGAATAGATCTCTTTAAAAATTTGCGCGTTTTGTAAAATTGTTTTATATCCGAGAACGACAACTCTGAATCTGATCGTCTAAACTTTATGTATTGGAAAGATCGGATATGCAAACTAATTTGATGAAAATGATAAGAATAGAATCACAATTAAAAATGAATATGATGAATCGCTTTAGCAAGTTTAACAAGGTGTAAGTTATTACCAATTAGTTGCGGAAAAGATAAAGCAAATTTGTGAGTTGTAAATGCACCAAACACTTGGTGTACGTACTACACAAGGTTTGGTTATACTCAAATTGTAGTGATTATAGTGATTCAAATGAATACTATATGAGTTTTAAATTTTAGTTTATTACTGTTGAAAATCCACCAATACTCTATGATGAATTTCGACCACCACTGATGATTGGTTATGACAAACAAATAAAAGAACAATGGAGATATTTCTGCAGAATTTCTATTCTGCCCACAAACTGTGGAATCTTTATTAATTCACTTTGCAACTGCAAAATACTGTGAATGAGTTGATTACAAAAATAGGGGTTACTCCCTCTATTTATAGATTTAGGTTAGCTTGCTCCCTAAGCTAAAACCCAAGCCCAAAATGTCTTTTTACTAAATCAAATCTAATCAAATCTATTCTAGATTTAAATTCAAATCTATTTAAATCTAAACAAATCAAATCTTCTTTTGACACATATGAATTACAATTTAACACACCACCTAATTCATTGTGTCTAAACTGTCTATGTTCATCATGACCCTTAGCTTTCTGAATACTTCGACCTGCACTCCCTTCGTCATGATGTCTGCAATCTGATTCTCAGTTCTGCAGTGTTCCAAATTCATCTTCCCATCTGCTACCTGCTCTCGAAGATAATGGAACCTCATTTCGATGTGCTTACTTCGACCATGTGCTATTGGGTTCTTTGCCAGATTGATAGCTGACATATTGTCTATCTTCATGGTAATTGCTCCATGATTTTTCCCTGTTATCTCTTCGACCAAGTTCACCATCCAGGTTGCTTGACATGCACAAAGAGAAGCAGCTATGTATTCTGCTTCACATGATGATAATGCCACTACTTGTTCTTTTCTCGAACTCCAAGCAATTGTTGCACCACCTAGCATAAACACATATCCTGCTGTTGACTTTCGATCTTGAACATCACTACACCAACTCGAATCAGTGTATCTCACTAACTTGCATTCTTTTCCTTTATTAACTGCAGGAAACAAAATGCCATAATCGAAAGTTCCTTTAAGATACCTTAGTATCCTCTTCACAGCTGCTAGATGTGATACCTTTGACTTCTGCATGAATCTACTTATCATACCTACACTGTATGCTAAGTCAGGCCTTGTATGACAAAGGTATCTCAATGATCCAATAAGTCTTCTGTATTGGGTTGGATCAACATCATCTTCATCAGCATCTTTCGACAGTTGCAGTCTTGGTTCTGCAGGTGTCGAAGTTGCGTTGCATTCTTCCATCTCAAACCTTTTGAGAATTTCTCCTGCATATCTTCTTTGATGCATCATCAAACCTCTACTGCTCTTGTAGAATTCGATACCAAGGAAATATGAAATCTCACCCAAATCAGACATTTCGAATTCCTTGCTAAGGTCAACTTTGAAGTCTTCGATCTCACTCTTGCAGCTACCTGTTATCAACAAATCATCTACATAGAGACATAGTATAAGCAATTTATTCTTGCTTCTTCTTACATATACTCCATGTTCAGTTATGCACTTCTCAAATTCCTTCTCCCTTAGAAAACTATCAATTTTCTTATTCCAAGCCCTTGGAGCTTGTTTCAAACTATACAGGGCTTTATGCAGCCTGTACACCTTTCTTTCTTCGCCATGTTTCACAAACCCAACTGGTTGTTTAACATAGACTTCTTCATCTAAGGGTCCATTTAGGAATGCACACTTCACGTCCATCTAACATATGTGCCAACTGTTGATTTCTGCTAGACCAACAACCAGCCTGATTATTTCGATCCTAGCCACAGGTGCAAAAACTTCGTCGAAGTCTATTCCTTCTTTCTGTAGAAATCCTTTCGCCACAAGTCTTGCTTTGTGTCGAGTTACTTCACCTTTCGAATTCGTCTTCACTTTGTATACCCACTTGATATCAATTGCCTTCTTGCCTTGAGGCAATTCGACAAGTGACCAAGTGTTGTTATCTTCGATAGACTTTACTTCTTCATTCATTGCTTTCACCCACTTCGAATCCTTTAATGCTTCAGCTGCATTAACAGGTTCGACATCTGCATAGAAAGCATAATGTACCAGCTCACCTTCATCATCTATCACATCATCTGATGTAATCACACAATCTTGCAATCTTGCAGGCATGCGTCTTGTTCTTTGAGGTCTGCTTGTACTGGGTATATCTGCTGGCTCCTCTTGTCGAACTTCTCTTTCGACTTGAGTTTCTGGCTCTTCGAATAAGATTCCCACTGAATCTTTCTTGACATTTGTAGTCCAATCCCATTCTTTGAACTCATCTATGATCACGTCCCTGCTGATCACAATCTTCTTGTTCTCTGGATCGAACAACTTGTAGCCTCCTGTCGAATGATATCCAACTAGGATCATTTGACTTGACTTGTCATCAAGTTTCTTTCTCAACTGATCTGGCACATGTCTATGTGCAATAGATCCAAATACTTTCAGATGACTTAGGCTAGGCTTCACACCAGACCAACATTCTTCTGGAGTAATTCCTTCTAGCTTCTTTGTAGGACTTCTGTTCAAAATATATGTTGCAGTCGAAACAGCTTCACCCCAGAACTCTTTGGGTAAATTCTTGCCTTTCAACATACTTCTCACCATGTTCATGATGGTTCGATTTTTCCTTTCTGCAATTCCATTTTGCTGTGGAGTATAGGGTGGCACCACCTCATGCACAATCCCTTCTTTTTCACATAATCTGTTGAAGTCTTTCGACACATATTCTCCTCCACCATCAGTTCTCAAAACTTTGAGCTTTCGACCGCTTTGTCTTTCGACCATGGACTTGAACTTGGTGAATACTTCGAACACTTCACTTTTCTGCTTGATCAGGTAAGCCCATAGCTTTCGACTGAAATCATCTATGAATGTAACAAAGTATTTGTTACCTCCCATCGAATCCACCTGAATTGGTCCACATACATCAGAGTATATGACTTCGAGATTAGCCTTCGATCTGCTTCCTGCATCCTTGCTGAAGCTGTTCTTGTGTTGCTTCGCCTGCACACATTCTTCACATACTTTGTTTGGAATGTCAATTTCAGGCAATCCTGAAACCATATTTCTTCTCTTCAAATCTCTGATGTCTCTGAAGTTGAGATGACCAAGTCTATAATGCCATATCCATTCATCTCTGCTAGCTGCAGTCGAAAGGCACTTGTGCTCCATCACATTTAGTTCAATCTTGAAGGTTCGATTATGAGACATAGGAGCCTTCAAGATTAATCTCCCATTTGCATCAACGACTCTCATCAACTTATCTTCGATTGACACTTTATAATTCTTTTCGACCAACTGCCCTATACTGAGCAAATTGCTCTTCATGCCTGGTATGTACAATACATTCGAAATTACTGACTTCTTGCCATCTTTCCTCATGATCATAACATCACCAATACCTTCAGCTGCTAGTGTGTTGTCATTTGCAAATTTTACCATATTCTTCGTTGAGGGTTTTATATTGACGAACCAGTCTTTCCTTCCAGACATATGTGATGAACATCCTGAATCCAAGTACCATTGGTCCTTGAATCTGTCTTCATCTCTTGTTGTGACCATCAGCACCATCTCTTCTTCTTCTTCATGTTTTGCAAGCTTTGCATCAGTT